AGCAAACAATTTATTCTTGCTAGACTCTTCTCTACGAGAAAGAGAATAATTATTGTAAATTTTGCGAAAGTAAATATGATGTGGCCATTTGTGAATATAATCCATCTTAATCATCTCCTCCTGGTTAATAACGCAGTAACAGATAAGCATCTTGTGACATAGTCGTTAGGTTGGGAGAGATGAGTTCACCATTAAGATTTTTTGCGTTGCAGTGATTGTAAACAACCTGTTTGAAAAGATCAGAAATTGACTCCAGTCGATTTCGAATGGTTAAAGGTATCATAGGTTTAATGATTAAGTTTAAATCAAAGTCAGCAGAAGAACGCAGCAACCACAAAAGGATAATAGGTGGAAATGAACTCAGCCAATAGTTGTTTGTAAAATTTCTTAAAAGACTTGACTCCCTTCTCAAATGTTTTCAGGTCTCGATATAACAAACAGCAATAGAATGAAAGTATAAATGATAAATACAATGGTTGAATTCTGTTGAAAATATAGAAAAGAAAACCTCAAATACCTTTATTCTTCTGCCGAACAAGGAACGTTTTGAAATTTTTCTGATCATCTATTTTATTACAGAATGTGACAAAACAATTTCCGATATGAAGATTAACACATTTCTTTGGTCCATATAACAAAAAAAGCAAATATTTCTTTTTTAACTTCCCACAACTTTCATGATTTCAACTATTTTTGCAACTATACAACAGAAATTTAAATTATTCTTCGCAAATGTCGTGTTCAAATATAGATGAACAAAAAAACTAGATATCAGGACTGAGAGGGGCGGAAAACATGAAAAAGGGAAATGTTGAATAGTTAAAACATCCGGAAAAAAAGTAGGAAAACGTCGAAAAGCAAAATGTAGAAGCTGAAAACAGCGAAAGAGAGAATATTGAAAAAAGAATGAAAAGAAGGGAAACATCGACAAAAGGTGGTAGAATAAAAAGATGTCTACGATATCCATACGTTTGAGGATGAGAATGAGGATGACGGTAAGAATAAGGGCGCTGGTGGGGTTAGAAATAAATTCGAAATACGTAGTTGCTGGCCGGATTAACTTTGTTGATTGGACCACAAAATAAATAAAATAAACATATATTTGTAATTTTAATATTACTCTTTCTTTCCTATATATTTAAATACAATGTCTCTTCGTTATGTCAGAATTAGAAGAACCCAATTTTTGATATTTTGCATTTCGACGTTTTTCTTTCGATATCTTCCTCTCTTCTGTTTTTCCTGTTCGACGTTCTCTCTTTCGCTATTTTTATCGTCTACATTTTTCTTTTCGACATTTTCCTATTTTTTCTTTCGACGTTTTCCACCAAACCCAACAGCCTATTTATCATTTAAAGCTGCATAATATATTACTATTTTCATCAAATCATATTTAAATAAACAAATTACACGCTTTCCTTCTTCTGTTACATTAACAACTTATGTAAACTAAGTCACCTGATGAGATCTTGGAGCAAGATCGAGATGCGTCGTGGTAACTCTTTGCAAATTCTTCAAAATTATTTTTTGAATTTTGTTGAATTTAATTTACACACACTTTCACCTTCACCCTCATCCTCCAGATTCGCACTAAAAAGAAAACAGTTACTCTTTATAGGTCAGTTATTACACAAAAACGAACAAAATAAAAAAAAATATCAACGAAATAGATCGTCACAAAGAACTACAATTATCATCGATCATCGGTTTGTAAGAATAGACAAATATGGTTTACACTTGAAGGACTGTGAATGAGATCACAAATAGATGAGTCATTCAGTTTATCAAACGACAATTGCTCATTCACTACAACGCTTTGTCTAATCATTACATCATCCTATATCCCATTGATCTGAAAAGAATAAAATTGAATGACACATTCAGATTATCGATCAATAGAAAACTATTTATTTACTACAATGTTTTGTCCAATCACTGCATTATTCTATATCCTGCTCATCTAAAAAAACAACCATAGGCTTGAAATCTAAACAATCACCAATTTCTCATTCTACAACCATCAGAAAAAAAACTATCTTTTATTCAAAAACAATCTTTTTCCCCTTCCTGCACCATGCACCTTGACCATTTTATTTACAAATAGATTCTATGAAATCAATAGTAACACTTCATTATTTACTGCACTGTCAAAAACAAACAATTCCAATCTCAACTAGATTCTCAAACGACTTGCCACAGATACAAATATTTATGCAGACATTTCAAAAAGTCTTGTAGAAAATGATTCAATTCACCAAATCATTTTTTTTCGTTCTGAACAACAGATAAATGTCAGCTCAATTATTGTTTTTTCAGTTTTGCTCGTGCCATGATAAACAATTGATGCTTGCAGTTCAAATTGTTTTGGCAAACACTTTTTTGTTATTTTTCATCGTGTCGAAGAATGATAGAAATGCACATTGGTAACTAAACGAAAGAAGATTTTTTGAATTTACTCGAAAACAAAGTTTGCCATCAACGACACATAAAGCTGAGTGTCAACTATCGCGATTCATATGCGTCTCTCAGAATCGTGGAAGTCTTGCTGTTTTCCTTTTGCTAAATTTCCTATGATGAGTTATGTAATTTACTACATCTCTGACGAACAGTATCTATTGCTTGCCACTGACTGACGTAGGACACGCAGAAGTAAAAATGCGGAGTGACTCGATTTCATTATTTTTGAAATAGTTTATTAGTTCATAATAATATGCGTTTTCAAAAAATTGTCCAAGATATTTTTAAGCACACACCTTGATCCGATCGAAAAGAGGAGTCGGATCCAAGAAAACGTCACCATAGGTTACTTTGTCCTCATTGACTTTCTTCCCAAATACCACAAGTGCCTTGACGATGATCGGTTTCTGTTCGGGGTCGTTCTTGACAAAAGCGGTGCCTTCGATGTGAACGTAGACTCGTTCGGGTAAAACGTCGACATGTTCGACTATGGTTTTCATGCTCGATATCTTGGCGCAAATTCCTTCGAAATAGGCCATAATCGCGTCGTATCCTCTCATCGGTGGTAGATTGCCGTAATGTACGACGGCATCAGAATAATAAAATTTTGTGATCAAACTTTGAATATCTAACGAGTCGCAAACGTCGAAATAGGCTTGAACCCAAGCGAGCGTTTTCTCGACTTGTTCAGATGTTATCGCAGTGGATATCGACATGGGGTAAAGCAAAATGTTTCAACGTCGTTATGTTGTCACAAAAAATGGATCAATGAAAGATAGATGAGATTGCAATACATGCATGTTTTATCTGCTTATTCAACCGTATTTTTTTTCTGTTTATTCGACCGTGCAAAGAAAAGACAACTAAAGAATACTGCATTAAGACCCAAAAAAAATCGAAAAAATCAGTTTCACACGTGCACACACCTGTAAGAAACGAAAAGCAATATTTACACCACGTTTGCCTATGCTCGAATATATCGAGTGTTCGAAAAAAAAATCAGACGCAGAAAATGAAAATATTTTGAAATTTCACAAAACTTTTGAGTGTTCGGAATATTGACGATAATTCCAATAAGATCTTAAAAGATTTTTTCGAATTAATTTATTTACAAAAACAATATTATTTAAATAACCAAAGAATATTTTTATTAATAATAAACAATTGTTCATTTCAATTTAAGAAAAGATGAATTTTTTTGAATTACAAACAAAAAATGTAAATGAATCAAGAAATAAGAAAAATATTCGAGTTAAATATAATAATCGAACGTGAACTGTCAAGTGACAAGCATTCTCAATTGTATCAATATCATAAACTTAATCAATATCTTCAGAAAAAACTCTAAACACATTATTTTTATCAAGATAATTCTCATCATTAATAATACAATCATTTTTCTGTAAAATTGTATCGAAAACGATTAGAACAATAATAAGAATTCCTCTTAAAAAAAAAACAATACTAATTTAAAGTGCAATCAGTTAATCTTGCTCGTTTTCACTTGCGTCTTCGACGATGTCTAAAAAAGACAATAAAATGATAATTGAAATTTTTTTTTCAGATAAGTTTTACATGTAGTTGCATATTCTTTCATTAAAAAATATTTTGCTTTTTAACGAAAACACAAAGTATTACCCATATTCGTACTGATATACAGAAAACAAAATATTTCATGGAAATAAAATAAAACAAAAAGTGATAAATTCTTTTACAATTTTATTCTTCTTTTTTTTATTTCCATCATCATTTGGTTAAAAGAGATCTTTTTTAATACTACTAATAGAATCTATGAGAATAAATGACTTCTCAGTTTAGATCTTATAAATATAAAATGTGAAACTTGTTTAACTATTTTTAAACTTCTCATCAATTACACTATTTGAATTTTTATGTTTAGTCAAAAATAAACAAATATGAAATATATAACTTGTCTCATTAGTTTTAATGAAATTAAATTGAATTTCTATATCGATATTTGCGAATTAGTGATACAAATATTAAAAAATAAATCTTGTAATTATTCTCTAAAATAATAAATATTCATAAAATTAGAACTGTCAATTAATTGATTGATTATTATATATTAATTTCATAATAGAATTTTATCAAAAAAAAAGAATTTCTTTAAAACAAAAAAGATATTTATTTATATAAAAAAAATTGATTATTTATAGAGAAAAACTTTTCTTTAAACAAAGTATTGTCTCTTAGGAGAAAATAGGACTTTAGAATTTCAATAATATACGAAATTCATTATTCTATTTATTTAAAAATGAAAAAACTTTTTTCTTTAAAATTTTCTACAATTTTGAATAGGGCAAAAACCTGAACAATTAATTATTTTCGTTTATTTTCT